GCCGATAGGTAATTGTTGGGATTATGTCCAGGGGATTCAAGTACAGGGTGAGGGAAAGTATATGTCCAAACACTATAGAAAAACAGAAAATTGCCTATGGAGCAGTGACCTCTCCTTTCCTCAGTGATTAATCCTTCAGCCCTGGTTTATACTAGGAAGTTATTTAAAAATAACCCCCCCTCCCCCATTTCAAAATAACAAGTGGAGCGTCCACACTACCAAGCCTGTTATTTTGAAATAATAACTCCTGCTTTCCACGAGGAATACTGCTTATTTTGAAATAGTTATTTTATACCTGTTAATGCTACAAAAGTAGAACTAAACTTGATACAAGGGTACCCCCCCACACCAACCAAAAAAAGGTAAACATAAGAACCATTGCAGAAGAGATCGTGTGTCCAAACAAGTTAGGTAGGACTCACTGCTTGAGGCACTGGAGCAGGAAAGTTAACTAATTATTAACACATTGGTTCATTTGGTTTCTCAAAAACAAATGCTCCTATTGAATTGTGATAGGTTAAAATGATTTCCTTTGTCCACACCACTTAGACAGACTGAGGGTATGTCTACACTACCCTCCTAGTTCGAACTAGGGTGGCTAATGTAGGTAGCCGCGCTGCACAGGGTTCGAACCAGCGGGGTTTTAAAAATGGCGGTTCCCCGCTTATGCAAAAGAAGCCCGGGAAATTCAAATCCCGGGCTTCATTTGCAAGTGCGGTATGCCTACATTACCCTCCTAGTTCGAACTAGGGTGGCTAATGTAGGTAGCCGCGCTGCACAGGGTTCGAACCAGCGGGGTTTTAAAAATGGCGGTTCCCCGCTTATGCAAAAGAAGCCCGGGAAATTCAAATCCCGGGCTTCATTTGCAAGTGCGGTATGCCTACATTACCCCGCTAGTTTGAACTAGCGGGGGAGTGTAGACATACCCTGAGTGACTCTAAGCCCCAGGTGCTCTTTAGTGACACAAACTGCCTGACTGAGTGGTTTTTGACTAAATGCTTCACTGTAAGAGATTGTAATGTCCCAGGGCTAAGGCAATGTTTGGACTCTGGAGACAGTTTTTGTGAGATAGAGATGAGCTTGGATGAAGCGCTGGAACACAGAGCCATTTGAGATGGTCCTCTAGCACCACGGCAAAGTTATAAATAACAATGGAGGAGGAAGGACTATTGTGAACTGAAGCCTACTTGTTTCTCCCTCACCTGAAGTTGTGGCACAGTTGGTTGAAGGCAGTGTTTACTTAAGGTGTACTTTTGATGTTCCTTTCACAAACAGTTCAGTGGCTTTTATTGTAACTTGGTCCAGGCTTGCTTCTGAAGGCATCAAAGAAGAATTGAGACAAGAGACAATAATTCCCACTCTTGAAAGCAGTGAATTTTTTTGCTGGCATTAAAGTGCTTTGGAAAGGAAATAATATTTTATTCTATTGTAGCAGAAGCTTTTCTAATTAATAACAATAATTACAGCTGTAGCAATAGTGCAACCATTCTAAAATATTATTTGCTTATTAAAAATACCGGCATCAGTAGTTGATAAAAGAACTCAACTTCAAATGCTATTTCTTTTGTGTTTTTTCATTCCAATCCCACTTGCTAAAGATGCTAAATGAAGTGTAGGTGGGACCAAATAAGTAACGACAAACGTGTGACTACTAGACACTCTAGAGGTACTGATAGTAAACTAATAAGGCACACACCTCCAGCTGTGCAGAGCTCAAGTTCCACAGGTGGCAGGGGAGGCAAAACTACTTTTATGCGTCTGCAATCACTGGCTCCAGTTAGAATGGCCCCCTATGGACTGTTCCATTGGCTAGGGATAAAGGCCTTAATTCTGCAAAGACTTATTCATGTGCTTAACTTTGCGTGCTGTGAGTGGGACTGTTCTCAGTGTATTAAGTTAAGAATGTGCATAAATCTCTGTATGATCAGGACCCATGTTAGCACCATGTTATTTTCTTTTCCACACAATTTTGCATGCAAAATTGGACCCTATATCAATAACCCAATTTTAGGTTTCTTTGTAAGTCAGCCTACCCATATTCGGTTATGTGTATTATATGAGGATTTATATTGCTAGTTTATAGAGGCAGATTTTAGGGGAAATAGAGTATTATGTTTCATTTCCTGTCAAGATTCTGCTTTCTCTAGGAGGCAATTTATAGACAACATATTTGGTTTATATAGCTGCAAAAACTATATTTTAACTTTTTAAAAAATTATACAGAATATGCAACCTTGTGTTATTACAGTAAGAGAATTACAAGTAAATATTTGTATTCTTAGCATGCTCTTTTATATGCCAGCTGCATCCTGAGTCTCTCAATATACCAGAAGATGTTATATAGCCAACTTGAAAATTACTGCAAAATCTCATTAAAAATAAACACTACTAATCATGGTAAGCATTGTCCTAAATTTGTTGTTTACCACTTTGAATATGTACTTCTAAACCTTCCACACATGTCTTTTGGTGCAAGAGCTATAGCGCAAAAAGGAGTTATTCCTCGTGGGGAGAAGAATAACTCTACCGGCAAAAGCCCTCTGCCCTGTCGATTTACTGTAATTTTTTGTGTGTGCAAAATGTGCTTGGGGTATGGACGCTCTGCCAGTTTTGTAGTATAGGACAGCCTTGTAGTATAGGACAGCCCTACCACATATACTGGAGCTAGAAATTTCTTCCCCAAGTCTAACTGTGTTGCAGCACAGCCTCATATGAACAAAGATTTTATGAGCATGTTCATTGCATTAAAAAACCCCACAGACCAATTAGCTTGATTCTATCATTCCTTCTTCGGAGGTTGTTAGCTTCATAGGTTCTCCTCTCTTCTGTGGGCAATTTAACCACTGAGGTACTTTAGTATTGGGCCTGTTGGTGACTGTCTTGCGAAAAGCATGATGCCAACAAGAGAGAAGCTGATGGTTTGGAATAAATAATGCAACCTCTTTTATTTACAATCTGGAAACAAGACATACAGGGCAGTTGTCCTTAGAGAATCACTAATTAATGCCTTTCAGTCCTGACAGGATGGCCATCCCAGCTCCACGTGCACTATATCTACAAGCTAATTGTGCATATAGCAAAAATCAAGCGTGATGTATGCTGTAGTTAAATTTCAGAGACTATATGGCTACGTCTACACTGGCCCCAAATTCCGGAAAAGGGATGCAAAGCAGGTAAGTCAGAATAGGGAAATCCGCCGGGGATTTAAATATCCCCTGCGGATTTAAATAAACATGTCCGCCGCTTTTTTTCCGGCTTGGGGAAAAGCCGGAAAAAAGCGTCTAGACTGGCGCGATCCTCCGGAATAAAGAGGTAGGAATAAGAGATCCTCCGGAAAAGGGCTTTATTCCGGAGGATCGCGCCAGTCTAGACGCTTTTTTCCGGATTTTCCTCAAGCCGGAAAAAAAGCAGCAGACATGTTTATTTAAATCCGTGGGGGATATTTAAATCCCCCGTGGATTTCCCTATTCTGACTTACCTGCTTTGCATCCCTTTTCCGGAATTTGGGGCCAGTGTAGACATAGCCTATGTGTCTTGATTTATTTACTAAACAATTTCCATTTGTTGAATTGAATCCCAGTAAACTGAATGCTTGTCCTTGTAGGTACAGAAAATTCCCTTTATGAGAAAAAAGGTATGACTTGTGTTTAAACTAAACCATTTTTGAGTCTCCAGTAATATGCACGTTGCTGTTCTGTTGCTGTTGAGTTCAAAATAGAAGTCTATGATCCTCTAAACCATTTATTAGCTGGTATGTAACCATGGAAAGAAATTATGGAAATGTAATTATCTTATGGCACTAATGATTGATATGACAAATTAATGCTTGAGAATTTCTATTTAGTATTTGTTAAAAGGCTATTAAACTGCATAACTGGGTGTGTGGTACAAACCAACACCTCATGCAATTCAATCATGTTGTCAAATTTTATTTGTAATTTAAATAGGTTATTCAATTTTTTGAATGGCTAAATGATGATATTCAGTACCTACAGTATGTATATCCAGAGGTGTAAAACAACAGTGTGGACTTCTATACTAAAATAAAAGAATTCAATTATGTAACAATTTGCAGTGTATTCATTTTTCTTTTCCCCTTCTTTTATAGACTTTCACCAGGAGACAGTTTGTTTGACAAAACATCAGATTCTTTAAGTTCAGCCAAGAAAACAGCCTTCTGTAGTTGCACAGTAGATGATGCTGGATTACATCAATAGGTGAACAATTTGGATTATGTTTCTCAAACAGAATTTGCTTCATCTGGCAAAGAAAGTGAAAATGTTAAGTTTCTTTCTTTGATACCAGTACTGGATGTCACTGCTGAGTATTTTAGCTGTTAATCTTATTGGGCACTTAAGCAGACTTGCACCTGCACATGAGAAGAATTCCTCTGCTCTTCTGTCTGGAGAAAACCAATCTGTTAATTACACCAAACTTCATGCACAGACCCTAGCATATACAGCTACAAATTCAAAGGGAGACACTGGGACAGAAAAACAAGGCTCACCATACTTGAAAAACAGAAGAAATAACAGAAATATGACCACCATCTCAGCAAAAGACAGCCCATTAGAAACAGATGGAAGTGCCAGCAGAACTATGAATACCTTTCTGTATTTCCCTTCCAAAGTCTTTGGGTGTGTCTAGATTACCTAGTTTTGTCGACAAAAGTGGACTTTTGTCGACAAAACAATACCAGCGTCTACACTACCGCGGAGTTCTGTGGACATAACGTCGACAGAACTCCGCGGTTTTGTCGACACTGGTATACCTCATTTTACGAGGCATAACACTTTTTGTCGACAGAACTCTGTCGACAGAAGGTGTTATTGCCTGTAACACTGCGTCCAGACTACGGAGTTCTGTTGACAAAGCGGCTTGCTTTGTCGACAGAACTCCATGTGTCTGGACGCAAATTGTCGACGGAAGTTTTGTCGACAGTATCTGTCGACAAAACTTCCGTCGACAAAACGCGGTAGTCTAGACGTACCCTTAGCCACATGGACCTGGAAGGGCTTAGCTATTTTTTTCCAGAGGACTATGCCCCTGACACACACACCGAAATTTTCCCTTCTTGGGCCACACCTTCTGGCCTCACTGAATCCAATGCCTTGGCATGGTGCAAGCAGGCAATAGCTAACTCCAGCTTAAGAAGATCATGCAATGTTCTTCTTGGCAGGAGGATAGAGGATACAGGAGATATGTGTATGAAAGATCTACTGTTGAAGGATGATCTCAACTGGTCTGAAGCAGGCATGGCCCTGTTAGAGAATGAATGTGAAAAGAAGGTTTGGAAGAAATACATTACAACACACAAGGGGTGCATCTAGACTACAGGCTTTTGTCATTAGAAGTTTTGTCAACAGATACTGTCGAAAAAGCTTCTGTCAACAAAGAGCATCTAGACTACATTCAGTTCTGTCGAGACAGTGTAGATGCAAAGGACAGTGTAGATGCAATAATGTCTTCTTTTGACAGAACTCTGTTGACAAAAGGCGTTATTCCTCGTAGAATGAGGTTTACAGCCGTTGGCAAAACTGCTGAGTTCTGTTGACGTTATGTCAACAGAACTCAGCGGCAGTGTAGACGTAGGTATAGTTTTGTTGACAAAAGTACATTTTTGTCGACAAAACCCTGTAGTCTAGACACACCCAAGGATTTCAGAGCTCAATTGAAGACCTCTCAGTATTAAAATGCCCTAATCTCTGCAGTGGTAATGGACAGTGTGTAGAATGGGGCTATGCATGTTTTAAAGTTTTTAGTTCGTATGTCTGCAGTGTGTTGTCTGGTAAGTCGAACTATATAGGAAAATTTATTCTTACACTCCTCTTGGATTTTGTGCCAGACTAGCACATTTTATTGCCTTTCTCCTCAGGTTTTGCACACTGAAAGTCATTCCCTACAGTGGGCCTACTCATTATCCCACAACTTTATTCCAATTTAAAACAGCTATATTTGTTATCTGTTCTGCTTCTTGTTTCCCCAGGGCAACGCACAGACTCAATTTCTGGAATGTCAGAATTAAAATATTGACCAATCTCACTGAATATACAATCTAGACTAGTAGCAGAGGAGAATGGCATATTTCACATACTCTCTTCTGTCAAGGAACCCTATCAAACAATTCCCTATATTTAACTTATTTATGGGCCCTGATCAGTATTTAGTAAGAGAATATTTTTTTATTTTTATTTTAGCAGGAAAATGAGGAGTCCAGTGGCACCTTAAAACTAACAGATGTATTTGGGCATAACCTTTTGTGGGCAAAACCCCACTCAAATAGTTCCACAGGACTAGGCTACTTCTCTGATATTTTTAGGAAGGGTCTAGCTCCAAAAGAAAACACTGAGGCTTGGGCGACTCTTTACACCCATTCATTTCTAACATTTCCAATGTTTGTTAGGGCCTGATTCTAAGGGTACATCTAGACTACAGGCTTTTGTCGACAGAAGTTTTGTTGACAGATACTGTCGACAAAAATTCTGTCGACAAAGAGCGTCTACACTACATTCAGTTCTGTTGACAAAGCAAGCTGCTTTGTCGACATGGTAGTGTAGACGCAAAGGACAGTTTACATGCAATAACACCTTCTGTCCACAGAAACTCTGTCGACAGAAGGCGTTATGCCTCGTAAAATGAGGTTTACCAACGTCGACAAAACTGCTGAGTTCTGTCGACGTTATGTCGACAGAACTCAGCGGTAGTGTAGACGCAGGTATAGTTTTGTCAACAACAGTCCACTTTTGTCGACAAAACTCTGTAGTCTAGACACACCCTAAGTTACATTTTACACTGCCAGAGGAGGTTAAAGGTGTTACTCTAAGGCCATGTCTACACTAGGAAATTATTTCAATTACTAAATTCAATATAAATAAATACTAAATTACTAAATTTGACTTAAGAACTCCCAATTTAACAAATTTGAATTTGAATGTCCTCACTATGGGGAAGCATCTAAATTTGTCCGAGACAGGCTTTGTGGATGCACTACCTCGGACTCAGAGCCCCAGGAAGCACTCTGGGGAGCTGCGGGAAGCCTTCCACAGGCCAATTAGTTCAAATTAGTGGTACTGGTGTGCCCACACTAACATTATTTCAAACTTGCAAGTTTGGAATTAGCATTATTCCTGATGAAAAGCCGGCATATAGAGTTTGAATTCCATGGCCTGTTATTCCAAAATAATAGGCTTAATAGTGTGGATGCATCACTTACTAATTTGACCTTGGGAGATGGAGTTATTTCAGACTAGTGTGGTCCTAGTGTAGACAAGGCTAAATGGAAGCAGACCCAAGACATACTCAGCTTTTTCTTAGCAGCATGACAGTTTCCTTGGCTACTCAATATCACATTTTCAAAAGTAGAGTTAATCTAGGAAGTTTGAAAAGTCAAATGTATAAATCTTCCCATTAATTTCTTTCTTTGGTTGGATCTCTAAATTAGATCTATAAGATCTTGTAGTGCATTTGTATATCTCTTTCCAATATCTGTTGTATGACAGATCTCTGTCATTCTAAAATTGTATCTGAATTATGATTTAAACATTTTAATCAGTCAAAATGAAATGTTGGAGACAGCTCAGGCAGGGGCAATATTGTTCACTATTTCTCTTATTATATATATAGTTACAGAGAGAAGCATTATGTTTTACATAGTTTAAATGTGTGTTAATTAGTTACAGTAAAACTCCGGTGGTCCGGTACGCCTGATGGTCCGGCACCAACTGCAACCCAGAAGTGCTCCGGCAGCTGCTTCAAGTTGTTAGAGTAATTGATTAACTGCGGCTGGATCCACAGCCGACACGCAGTTAATGTAACTTTCCTCTCTACTGCCAGAAGCATTATGTTTTACATAGTTTAAATGTGTGTTAATTAGTTACAGTAAAACTCCGGTGGTCCGGTACGCCTGATGGTCCGGCACCAACTGCAACCCAGAAGTGCTCCGGCAGCTGCTTCAAGTTGTTAGAGTAATTGATTAACTGCGGCTGGATCCACAGCCGACACGCAGTTAATGTAACTTTCCTCTCTACTGCCGGAAGGGGGAGGCAGTGGGAACAGGTAGATCCGCAGGTGACAGGCTCCTCCTCCCCCTCCCGCTCTCCCACCGACCCCTACCTTCTCCTGCCCCCCCTCTTCCCGGCAGTAGAGAGGAAAATTACATTAACTGCGTGTCGGCTGTGGATCCAGCCAGAGTGACTGTAACTGACCAGAACGTCCTGAATGCGGCTGCCTGCCTGTCACCGCCTCTTCTCTTCCTCTCGCAGGCTCTGCCTCCCTGCAGCAGGAGGGAGGGTTTGGCACACCCCCGCCCCCTCCCCCACTTTCCCTCCGAGGAGACCCGCCCCTGCCAGAGTACCTCCTGATAGTCCGGCATTTCTGATAATCCGGCACCACCTGGGTCCCAAGGGTGCCGGATTATCGGAAGTCTACTGTAATTTGTTGACTTTCACTTACTAGTCTTTACTTAAAAGATCAGATTCTGGAAATTACAAAGCTGGAGAATGATGGATTGTATGATGTTTGACAGTATGACTGAGAGAGCTTTTGGACAAGGATTCAGAGAGCCACCAACTCTGAAATGTGAAGTTATCAAACTGCAGGTTTGTAATTTATACTTATATTTGAACTTTTCAGAGCACTGGGATTAATTTTAATTACCTGGGCAGAGTAGAAGGAATTTAGATTAATGCATACAAGGTCCAATCATGCAATGGAAGCTGAGAGCAAATATATTCAGCACTTTACTGTAGGCACTCAACTCTTTGCAAGACTTCCATACCTTCAGTGGTAGGTGAAATAGAAAACACAATAGGAATTTTTAACAGTTCAGAGGGATGTACCTACACATGGCAGTCAGTTATCAGAAAAACATGCTGAGAAATACACCTATGCAAGTGCTGCCCTGTGTTGGGGAATTTCAGGAGTGATCAGGTGGTGTAATGAAGTGTCCTTACTGAGAAGGCTAGAATCCCGTTCTTCAGCTGCCTGAAGAACACACCTAATTTTTCCAAGTTGGAACCTGATGCTTTAAATATATTGTTTCTACAGGTTAAACCTCTAAAATCCAGGACTCTATAGTCCAGTAACATTCATGATCTGGAAGGAACATGGATAGTGCTGGATCGAGAGCCCCACTTGGCCAGGTTCAGGGGCTAAGCTGGCGGTGCAGAGCACAGCCCCAGCCGGGGCTGGTGGCGGGGAGTACAGCCCTGGCCGAGCCAGCAGAGCAGGGAGCACAGCTGGCCGGGGCTGGCACAGTGGGGAGTGCAGCCCCAGTCAAGCCAGAGGGAGCGGGGCATTGCACCCCGCACATGGTAGGGAGCACAGCCCAGTCCCCAGGCAGGATCACAGCCCTGGCAGGGCTGGGGACAGCAGGGCTGGCAGGGTAGCAGGACCAACAGCCAGGAGGGAAGCCTTGACCTCCTTGGTCCAGCAAACTCTGTGGTTCAGGACTGCTCATTTCCCAAGGATGCCAGACCAGAGAGGTCCTACCTGTATTATAAAAATGGAAATGAATTTTTTTGTCGTACTTGGGTAAAATACAGCAGCCATTTATTAATACAGAGCAGCAGTACACATTAGTTTAGGACAGGACATTTAAAATATTGTAACACATGTTAATGAAATTAAAGGAGGAATTTAGATGGATAGAATGCTAGAATTTCCCAGGATACCTGATTAATTCATAAGTATTCATGCTGCAATGAAGAGTTGGCTCTTGATCTTGGACAAGAGACTAAGAAAACTCCAAAGTAAAATTGCTTCTTATTTATGTGGGGTTTTGTTTGGAATGTATTCAGTGGGAAACTTTCCTTATTGAGAAAAGAAACTTTTACTCAACTAGTTCCTGCAGATGCTATGATTATTTTGACAGATTATAGAATGCAGGCTATAGCTATTTCTTGAGCACAACATGGCTCCACTTATCTGCATGTTGGTTCAAATGAGAAAGTCAACAGCAAATTTACACTCCATTAGGTTAAAAGCCCTTCAGAACCAGCTCCCAGTGAAGTAATTATTGAGAGTTCGCTTATCACAGTTTGAAATGTCCCACTCTCACCTCATGGCAAGGTTTTCTGTTATAACACTCTCCGTGGTAGCACATTTGGTTCCCAGCTACAAAATCTTTATCGTAAATCACTTTTATTGACACTCTTAGTACTGACTTGAGCTCAGTTAGAAAATGCACCCCCCCCCCCCCACTAATATTTGTACAGGATCAAACTTGGTGGGGAATCTGAGGGATTGGAATTTTTTTACTTTCAGCTATATCTGCCCTGTGCAATTACAATAGTGTAAATCAGGAGTTTCCTGCTAATGTTAATAGAGTTACAACAGTGTAAAATGGGTCCATTAGAGCAAGCCACTCTGTGGTTTGGGACAGACCTACTTGCTCCCACATCTCATAGAGGAATCATTTTAGCAGGCACCTCATTAATGAAGGAATATTTAGCTAAATTCCTGTTCTTCAGTTTCTTATTTCTGGTTAAACAAATTCATCCTTATTCCCCAGAAGTGTCAGTCCTGACAGAGAGTAGGAAGGATGTGTACCTGCTGCATGGTGGAAATGAAGACAGCTAGGGAAGCCTGCACACACACAGTGAGACACTCCTCTGTAGGATTTTGGGGGCCATAGCCACTGAGTCTATAATTACACAGATACATTGGGGAAATGTAGTCAGGTTTGGTAAGGAGGGTGGAGACAGTTTAGCCCACAGAAACAAAATGCAGCGTAAGATTCAATCTGATCCGCATGAAATTGTACATGTACATAGAGCTGGGAACATATCTTATCTCAATACTATCTAGCTTTATAACATCTAGCTTTATAATTTTTAAAAAAGTCAATATGTCTCTGTAGCAAATTTATACCTCAGAATTCGCAAGAGTGGTAACAGAAAGATGACCGTAGAAAATATCTGCATCACATTTCAAAGGTTATGAGGTTAAATGCCATCAAAACTGTGGTTTTATTAATATTTCTATTAACTGTAGATTAATTCATTCTTGCCACATTCCTTTTAAAAAGAAAGATAAGAAAGAAGGATAGACTGTCCTTATATCAGAACCAAAATAGTTCGTATGTGAAAAAAACAGCAAAACAAGTGTCTAATTGTAATGGGAAAATGTTAGCTGTATAAATAGTCAAGTTAATTTTGACCCATAATGAAATTTCCATCTTTACATTAAAAGATATGTTGTATGAGGTTATTATTTGTGTGCCTGACCTAGAAATATTTAATTTTTAAAAAATGAATTTGAATACATTGTGAACCATCTCTTTCAGTATCTAACTATTTTTTATTAAAGTAGGAGAGGCGCAACTGATCATACAACTAATGCATCTAGCGATTGTCAAGCTGTCCTTCAGTGATTCAAGAGTGAGAGTACCAGCCTCAGGGCAGATGGTTAGGAAAGAGGGCACAAACCCCAAATTTGTTGTGACTTCCACATTTAGAGCTCACCAAATTATCGAGTATAAACGCAGGCACATGTAATCTTAGGCATGTTGATGAGCCTTCCTTGTCTGCCAGAATGTAACATGTTCTGTTGGAAATCAGCACTTTACATCAGCTAACGTCTCTCCTGTCTGGTGATTTACATAGTTACAAAGTCTTCTAATGCAAAACACTGAAATTGCAAGGCTGAGTGAGGCTGATCAAAAGTAATCAAGGGAACAAAGGATCAAGCACTCCCAGTTCACAGGATCCCAACTGCCATAGTAACTGAAATCACCTGCAACAGAACAGAAACAAAATGCAAACAGTCGAGCAAACTTACTTACGCCAAAGCTAGTCCACTCTCCAGGCAGCCTAGTCAGCTGTGGGATCCCTTATGTTCCCTCTCAAACTCCCCTGTCTGCAGCCCCCTGTCCACCAGTAAGAACTACTCTCCATCTGTGCCCCTGTGCTTATTATGAGGGAATGTTATTATGTACTATCAGGCCCTTCTCAGACAAGTAGATAAATACCATATACCTGGCATTCATAGTGAACTACAAAGGAAAGATGAAATTGAGTGAAGCACAGGTTTATGTGCTGCAAGCATGCAGCATCCAGGCTATGAGTGGTGGGAGTGGGCATTCAAATAATCAATAAAATAAATTTATTAAAATCAGTTATTTTTCTTTTGTCATTTTACACTAACATTTCCTGCTTCAGCAAAATAATACATCACACTGTGACATCATAAAGGCCAGGGACTAATTTATCCCTAGTGCAACTGTTTATTTCATTGACATTACACTACTGATAAATTTGGTCCTACAAGTTTTAATGGTGCGCATGCCCTGCATGAGGTCAGTGTGTTGTCACAGAGTGAAGCATTTTGGGATATCTTCAAAGAATCAGGAAGTTATCAGGGGAAAGTGCAAGAAGTATAAACAATATTGTAAATCAGATTGTAACAATGGGATTTTTTCATGCACAGATTGGGATAAAGCAACTTTGGAAATGTTGCCCTCAAATTCATTCCCAAACAAAAATGAGTATTTTATTCAATTAAACTGGTAAGTTAGAGTAGATTGTCTTTCTCTGACATTTTAGAGTACATAAAGATTTTATTGTTTGTTTGAGAACCAAGAGAAAACCCTAGAAATTTAATCCATTTTACACTGACATTTCTGTTAAGAAAACATGCAACACAGATGATCTCTGTTATAGGGAAGGAGATACAGATCCTACCAGCCCGGGCTTACTCTGCAGACCTGACATCTCAAAATTAACTTGGTCAGTTACTGAAAGTAAGTTCTGGAGCCTCTCACCAGGATTAGGCTAAAACTTAATGAAGCGGTGGTGTTTCAAAATTGTGTTGATATAAGCAAAATATTGATCATGACTTCTGTTAAGTTGTGTACATGAAATGGGCGCTGACTCTGGTCCTGACTCAACGTTCATTGAAGTCAGGGGGAAAACTGGACTTTGGACTCGGCCTCTATTGCACAAACTTGCACATGTATTCACATGACCAGATTGGTGCACAGCTCGGGCAACCTGGTAAATTTGCAGTACATAGAGGCAAGTGGCTATTTTCACACATGTGATTTAATAAAAATCAGCCCATTGTTTAATACTGTATTCTCATCATTGTCTGTGCGTATTGTTTTGCATTGTGTGAGCTTGGGGACAGTACCCTGTTAAATGCCTGACATGCTTCATTTATTGTACCATGTACACTAACAACAATATAAACATCAATTTAATTACTGCATGTTAAAAGAATAGTAACTGATTGTGTTCAGATGCGATAAAAAGAAAAAATAATGAGGAGAAAACTAAATTCATATTGACACGGTGCTGCTCAAGGGTGCTGAAAGCTCATGAAAATGAGGTGGCCTTGCCCACTCACTGGACTGCTGGAGAACCTATCCCCTTTCTCTCTCTCTTTCTCCCTCCCCACCACATGCATGGAGTAAGAAGGCTATTGCAGCCCTGGGGCGTTAGTAATCCCTGTAGAGCTGCTTGTGCAAAGGGTCGAGGAAAGAGGTTGAAAAGGAACCAAATGAAATGTTGAGCTCACTGACGGTATGCTGGAAATTAGCTGGTGAATAGATGAGGACTTGGAGGTAAGTCTTCTGACAATCCTAGTGAGGAATTCCTTGGTACCAACAGACTCATTTGTGACAATTGGTGTCTCTACTTATGTGCAGTGATCTCATGCAGATGCCTCTCACTGGAAAGTCAAGGTTGGCACTAGATTCCTGATATCACTCTTCTATGCCCCCCTCTTCTTACCATATGGGCAACATGCCTCTGGTGGCATGTGACCAGGATTCACCATCAAATGTGGTATGCTGGTTGAGCCAGATACTGAGTGGGAATGTGATAGGAATGCGGATCCATGCCTCTCTACCCGCTCTGCAATATTTAGTAGGAGGTAGAGTCACTGATTCATGGAATGGTGGCAGTGGGTGGCCTTGCCCCATGGAATTCACATAGCTCTTTATGGGATGAGAATCCACCTAGGCTATGGATCTCAGTCAAGAGTATGTACCTGCTCAACATACCATATACTCCAATTCTGTGACTTGACAGTATAGCAAATGGGATTCTAACAACCTGTTATATGCCTTCAGATGGGTTGTTGGATGGTTATCTATCTTTTTACGCTATGGTATTTGATCACTGACTATGTTCACATGAAACTCGCTGGGGACATAAAATCTATTCTGTGCCCATACATTGTGAACATAGCTATCTACATGTTCAGAATTGCAATCCCATGATTAGAGCTCACTTCTGAAAAGTAGTTCTAAATGTGTATGTTCTTTAATAGAATTTCAGAGTTACAGAGCATCATTTAAAAGTTAAGCCATATTCAAAAATCAGTCTGCAGGCAGAACTCTGATGGTAGTGAATCAGGATTTTAGTAGCAGAATTTTTCATTTAAGTTGTTCAAGAGGTGACATTGCCCCTGTCCCGTAAGAGACATGACATTATCTACTATATATTTACGTGAATTTGTCTGTCTGTTTGTTCAAGAACTCCTCTTAAACGGTAAGAGCTAGGACCACCAAATTCAGTATACTATTTCCTCTTATAACTTAAAGCAAGGTAAGAATTTGGCTGTGCCAGGAAAATGAGATGTGCCTGGAATGGGATTGTTTCTCATATAACCATACAGAAAAGAGACAGAATTGCCAAGCAGGTGATAGGGGAAAGTGCCCAGTTTGCTGCATTCCTCATTCTGTCTGGGGAGCACAAGGGGCAGACAAGCTGTGCACTTTGCTCTTGCTCCCTGACAGGGACAGGAAGGGGAAGAGCAAGTAGCCCTGGTATGAATCTCAGGGTGATAGGACTTTACTCCCCATGCCATACATGTGCATGCATGCACACACACACATACACACACACACACACTCCCCTGCCCAGAGCCATTCCTCACCCCCAAACTCTGACTCCTGCACTTCTCCACCCTACCCGGAGCCCCTCCTTAAGGACCTGAGCAATGTCATGAAAGTGTGCTAGTGTTTTTAGACATAGACATATAAAATGTAAACCATTTTGTAATTCAAGTGCAGGTTTGGCTCTCATTTATAGAGAATCAAAGTATATGTCCAGATGGTTCAAGGGCTTTGGGATTCTTTGTACATACAATTAAAATAATCTTTCTGCAATATTTTTGTATGTAATAAACTAGATTTACCCAGTGTTGCTCAGGTCCTTAACTCAAATGATTTTTGTTTTTCTTCATTTAAAACATTGCTCTGGGGCCAGAATAGACTTTTTAGAAGAAAATGATATATTTTCATATCTATAAATGCTTTACCTGTTGTTTATACAGCTTGTGAACAGGAGCTGCAAACAGGGAGTTTTGAGAGGGAGTTCTCCAGGTAAAGGAGGAGTAAATACAGGACCCTTGAGGTAAGTGGCTGTCTGTAGTGTGTGTTTGTGTGTGTGTGTTTGGGGGGGGTTACTTACTGTGTGCTGAGCTTGTGTTTGTTTGTTTGTTTGTTTGTTTGTTTGTTTGTTTGTTTGTTTGTTTGTTTGTTTGTTTGTTTGTTTGTTTGTTTGTTTGTTTGTTTGTTTGTTTGTTTGTTTGTTTGTTTGTTTGTTTGTTTGTTTGTTTGTTTGTTTGTTTGTTTGTTTGTTTGAAGGAGCGTGTGCTGTGGCCGGCAGCTGGAAGCTGGAAGCTTCTAAAGGTTTGAAATCTAGAATCCTCTGTTAATTGACTGAGCCTTAGTCAGGGGGCGGGGCTACCAGGGCTTTATAAAGCTGTGAGTCAGCGACCAGGGAGCTTGCAAACAGGAGCAGCAAGCAGGGATTTTTGAGAGGGAGTTGGGAAGGGGAGTGAGAAAGGGCCAAGGTACTCTTGCCAGTCTTTATACTTTAGTTTAAAGGTTTTAATAAAAACTTCCTGTTTTAACTAGAAACCTTATCAATCAAACTCATTCATAGGAAAAAATGCAGACAGAAGCTCAGCAGAAGATTGGGGGCTATCCTGTTTATTGCGTAGAGAGTAACATGTATGATTACCTGCCCTATGGGTGAGTGGCAAATGTATGCACCTGTTGCAAGGAGCTCCTGACCCTCAGAGACTGAGTTCGAGCTTTGGAGGCCAAGGTGGCTGAACTGGAGGAGCTAAGGGACGCAGACAGCTATGTTGATGAGACTTTCCAGGACATTGTAGTCCTGTCCCACCTCCAGTCTGAGAGCCCCAGTGCTGTTAAGGAGGATGAAAGTCTCAGGGGAACAGAGCATTCAATGGGAACAGAGGGAAACCATCCCATAGATGGGACCCTTGTTCCAGAGGATGTTGCGATATCCTCTTGCACTGAGGATACCTCTGAGGGGGAGGGAATGTCAGTTGTTAGGAAGAGGCAGGTGTTAGTAGTGGGTGATTCGATCGTTAGAAACATAGATAGTTGGGTTTGTGATGACCGGGAGAACAGTATGGTCACTTGCCTGCCTGGTGCGAAGATTGTGGATCTCTCGAGGCAACTAGATAGACTTACGTGTAGTGCTGGGGAGGAGCCGGTGGTCGTTGTACATGTAGGTACCAATGACTTAGGGAAGGGTTGGAGAGATGTCCTGGAGGCCAAATTTTGGTTGCTAGGAAAGAGACTGAAATCCAGGACCTCTATGGTGGCATTCTCGGAAATGCTTCCAGTTCCACGCACAGAGCCAGGTAGGCAGGCAGAGCTTCAGAGTCTCAATGCGTGGATGAGACGATGGTGTAGGGAGGAGGAGTTTAGATTTATTAGGAACT